CCAAAATGGCGGACTTTGAACGCCCGTCACGGGTGAACGCATGGGCCGATTTCTGGGGAACTCCGTGGGAGTACTCCCAGGACCACCTACTATAAGCCCTAAAAGTTCCCCGCTGTTGCGAATTTTGGGGGGGTCAAGGCCTTTTTTTGGCTAATGTTCCTGGGCTATTGTGGCAACCCTGTAATTTTACAAGAATATGGGACTGTATTGTTGGTAATTGTCTCTCTGATAGGGCTCTTAAAAACCCGACCCGCGGGTACCCGGGTAACCCGGGTAGGAACCGGGTCGACGGGTTTTCCCGGGTACCCGGGGTACCCGGGTAAACCCGGCGGAACCGCGCCTGCAAGTATAGGCAAATTGGCATACAGGCATGACAAGTTGCCTACTTACAGGCGCGGGTCCGCCGGGTTTACCCGTTGACCCGGTTCCTACCCGGGCGGGTACCCACCCGGGTTACCCGGGTACTCGGGTAGAAATAAGAGCCCTACTCTCTGATAAGCAGTCCTTTACTTTCACGGCAAAAGTTGTTAAGTATTGAGTCTGGTTGAAATGAATGGCTTGCAACAATAGTTCAGTGAAGAAATAAACCTGCTTTTTATTCAATAAAATTCATTGTAAATTCAAAAATGAAGATTCCATTTTGATATACAGACTCACTATTCTTAAAACATTCCGAATATTGTAAACTGAAAGCACTTCCACTGCACATTGTCACATGTGCCACAGAGAACCTAAAACAAAAACAACAACAAAAAAACAGTCGTTCACAACGGAATCATACTTATCAACAGAAACGAGCATGAGAGAAGGGCACCCTGGAGAAGAAGCAATCCCGGGGTAAAGGGGTACACCGCTACACTGATCATCAGTGATCAGTGTACCCCTTTCACCTCTTCCTCTCCAGGGCGCCCTTCTCTTATGAAACGAGGGAGGGAAGTACCGGGGAGGGGGGGGGGGGCGAACAAAATGGGTCTATACAGAAACAAGCACGCCAGCCCTCCGCCAAACGAAGCTGGTAGCTTCACTTCGCTCTGCCCCGATTCAATATTTTGAGCTTACCCTTCCAAATCCTTCGAAAACAACTAATTTAATTCGCGTTAAACGACCTCCAAACTCCCTACGGACAGCTAAAACTAATGCAAAATCTTATCTAGGGAAAACATCAACACTTTCAAGTGCCATTGAAATCTGACTGTATCACCAGAAAACTTTCCCTTGTGAGACCGAATAGGGTCTGTTCGTGGCCCTTAGATCAGAGATTGTCAACGCACGGGCTGACAGTCCGCTTGCCTGCCCGAAGCACTTTCGATCGGGCTCAGTCCGGCCCGAACCATTCGGGCTTGGCCAGCCCGAACCCAGCCCACCCGATCGGACCCCGCCTCGCAACGCTCAGCCCCCCCTCACCTGCAGCAAGCGCTGAGCCGAGCCCGGACCAAGGCCGAAACCTCGGCTCGGGGCAGCGGCTTGTCTCTGCCGCGCGGCTGCCGGCGGGTGAGCCCGACAGCCCGTGCGTTGACGATCTCTGCCTTACAAGGGAACCTTTTTAGGTGTAAATCTCCGATTTCGTTGAAACTCGGAAAATTTAAAGGTTTTTGTACTAGAAGTCGGATGGCACTTGAAATTTTTCCTGAACCTCACTGTTGCTAGGTACTTAAGCCTTACACTGTTTTTTGTCTCAAATATCCCTCTACCGCCTTAACGGTACAAAATAGAGCAAAATGGACAAAATTTTAACCCAAAGATCGCTACTTTGATGAGTTACCCCTTAGAACACTGCCTTACAATTAAAAAAAAAATATCATAAAAACCATGCATATAAACCGTACTCCTACCCCTACATAGGGGAAAACTAATTGTGAGGTTCAGGAAAAATTTCAAGTGCCATCCGACTGCTAGTGCAAAAACCTTTAAATTTTCCGAGTTTCAACGAAATCGGAGATTTACACCTGAAAAGGTTCCCTTGTTAGTTACCCTGAAAAGTTGAGGTCTCTACACTGTAAAAAATCAGTCTTGGATACGGAGCCTGTCACGGCGTTCCGCACCTCACTTTTGGGAGTGATTTTCGAAAGCGGTTCGGAGATTTGCCGTACATGGCCACCGTACCAACGATTTTTACATGGGCTAGCATAGGGAGGGGGGTACGGAACGCCGTAACAGACTCCGTACTCAAGACGAAGACTTCCGGATCAAAATTAACAGGACTTTTTCCGTACCTTTCCGTACCCTGGCTCCGTACCCACGTTTATTTTACGTGGGCTCTTATGGGAATAGGGTACGAAACTCAAGGTACGGAGACGCCGTAGGTTAAGTAAACGCAATATTTCCGTATGGGGGACCGTGATTATTTTTTACAGTGTAGCTCACTTTCTAGTGGCACAGATAGAAAGCCAGACGGAACAAAAAAGCAAAGAAACAGATTAAAATATGCCTGAAAACGAATCTTTGAGTGCGCAAAAAAGAAAAGACCTATCTCGTCTAGTGTGCACACTAAAATTTCTTAAATTCAGGTTATAAATTTCCAAGTGATGAAAAGGCGCAGAGCTTTCTAGAACAAGAGTTTCAATTGGATGCGGCTAGTGTGCAATTTTTACCTGCTTGGTGTCTGGCAACGCCGAGCGCAAAGCTTCCATTTGTTTGAGGCACTCGTTTGGATGGTGCGTGAACTCGCCGCTCAGCGACATGACGGGCCTCACGGGACGACGCAGCACCAATCGGCGCAGACACTTCAGCTCACAGCTCTGAATCAGGTCCGAGAGCTCGGAAGCTCCGCAGTACCAGGGCCAGCGAAACGCCAACTCCTTTAATAAAAATCAGACATATTTTGCACCATAATATTCGGGAAGGGGAGAGGGGGGGGGGACTGACATGGGGTTACAAGTGTAAATTCCGGAATCGGTTTTTACTTTGGGATTGTCAATGTTGACTGATACCTAATACTAAAAGATTGCCGATAAAAGTTAGTGCCCGATTTGATATTTTGGTTATAGTGAAAAAGTCCCATTTCTGATAAAATGGCTGAAACGAGGAGGAAATCACTAAGGTTCGTAGCGTACGGACTATTTCGTGGTATTTCTCAAGCCATTTCGGTTATTTCTCCTGCCATTTCGGCTATTTCAGGCTATTTCACGCTATTTCGGAGTATTTCAGAGGTATTTCGCGACTATTTAACCGACTATTTCGCGTCTATTTCGCCTTTATTTCGCTCTATTTCGCCTTTATTTCGGACTATTTCGGGGGAAGGTGTACAAACTATTTCGCAAGTGATTTCCCCCTCGGACTGAAAATCCATTATTTTTGAAAAATCTGAGTATGATACCTAAGTTATCTTCGTCCTGTAAACATAAATTTGAATTTGATTGGAAACTGAGGATAACTAAGGGTTTTTCTTATAAAATGATGACTTTTAGTAATTTTTGAGAAATTGGACTCCCCTAATGCACCCCATGCAAACCATCAAATTGGGCACGAACTTTTATCGGCCATCTTTCTGTCTACAGTCAACATTGAAAACCCCAAAGTGAAAACTGATTCGGGAATTTACACTTGTATGAGTAGCGCAGCTGAGCGGCCTGCCCAGTAGCCTGGGCCAGAAAAAAAATTGTTTTTTGGAAATTTGAAAGACCATAAAAAATGGCGAATTTTTGTTGAAACGCGAACGTCCACTGTTAAAAAAAAAAACCTACAGTAATTCGTACAGGACGGCCAATAAATTTTTATAGTGGCTTGACTGTATTTAATTTTACAGTCGGACTGTTTTTAATTTTACATTCCGACCTGTTACCGCCTGTAACAGTCTGCACTGTATTGTAGAATACGGTCCGACTGTATTCAAATGTACAGGCTGACCTGTTACAATCTGGACTGTAAAATTTAAGTTTAGTCGGACTGTAATCTTAGGCCGCTTGCAGCTAGGTGAGCAATATTTACCACATATGTTCTCTCGGATGTGCTCTTTCCAACGGTGTGTCGCCGAACTTCAGGCGAGGGGTCCGCAAGTACGGTCTGCCGGTGTACACATGTGGTCGGCTTCCCAGTTTTCCTAGGTTTTCCTAAGGTTTTCCCGGTCTTCCTAACTTTTTATTGGTTTTCCCAATATCTTGGTTTTCTGATATTTTCTGAATGCTTCCTCCACTTTTCTGCGGTTTTCTCGCATTTTCATCGGTCTTCCCTTACATTTTCTGGTCTTGCAATTTCTAGGTCTTTCCTAAAGTTTTTCCGGTCTTCCCTTATATTTTTCGGTTTTCCGTTACATTTGTGGTCTACGATTTTATTGGTCTTCTTCGGTTTTCTTTAGTCTTCCTGGTGGTCTTCCCGGTCTGCCCAGTTTTCTGGGCGGCCAGTGTACCGAGTTGCGGACCCCTCGACTTCAGGCGACATGTTGTTCGCCCTACAGATCGACGGACGTCCGCCACAGCGCACTTAGGCCCTACAAAATTTTGGTCCACATTTTCGACATTTTTGTTTGGCATACTGCTTGGTAACATGCCTAGAAACAAGAACCCGTCACCCGTGCCAGTCCGCCCCACCCACAACATGTCCAAGATCGAAAAAACTGATAATTACTCTACCGTCGGCTGCTAGCCGAGCTGTTGGGCTGGTCCAACATCGGGGCCAATCTCATGGATCTTGTGAAACGGCATAAAATTTGAAAGAGCACAAAATTGTGAATGTCTGTGCAAACGCGAACGTCCTGCGATGTCGGGAAGTGCTCGTACCTTGCAGTCAAAGATTTCGGCAGAGTAATTTTCAGTTTTGGTCGATTTTGGACATGGTGTGGGTGGGGTGGGCTGGCACGGGTGACGGGTGCTTGTTTGTGGGCATGTCATCAAGCAGTATGAGCGAAAAAAATTCAAAAATGTGACCCATAATTTTGTAGGGCCTAAGTGCGCTGTGGTAGACGTCCGTCGATCTGTGGGGCGAACGACATTTCACCCGAAGTTCGCGGCGACACACCGCTGCGAAGAGCACATCCTAGAGAACACTTGTTGTAAATATCGCTTACCTAGCTCCACGCGTCGCTGCGCGAGCGCCGCCCGAGCGCCACCACGCATTTGAACCCTCAGTCGGGCCGAAAGAGCGCTTCCCGACATCGCAAGACGTCCACTCTCATCCTGTTACTGATTTTTTTAACCTTTTGTCAGTATTCCGACTGATAACTGCTTTCATCAGTAATACGAAATAATTTCATTTTTAATTACTGACAATTTTTTCTTTTATCAGTGAGCTACTTACAACGATATCCAGAATAAGTAACAAATTAGTCAGTAATCCTGATGCATAAAAACCTTTATAAGCTACTAATGAATAAATCAGTACAGGTCTGAGAGTGTTCGCGTTTGCACCGAAATTCATCATTTTTTATGCTCTTTCAAATTTAACACCGTTCCAAAAAACAAGTTTTATAGTGTCTGAAGTGCACAGATAAAACCTTTAGAAAGCAAAATGCCAAATCCCTTTTAATTGCCAAGCAATGCTTTGTAGCTAGAAAGCAAATACGAAGCAATGCTTTGTAGTTACAAAGCAAATGCTTTGTAGTTACAAAGCAAATGCTTTGTAGTTACAAAGCAAATGCTTTGTAGTTACAAAGCAAATGCTTTCTAGTTACAAAAGCAAATGCTTAAAGGCAATTGCGAAGGACTTGGCGTTTTGCTTCGTAAGGTTGTTAACAGTGTGACGGGCCTCTGGTGAACAAACAATCCCACTACTTACCTTGTCTCTCGGGTCAGGAGAGGGCTTGCCGTCTGTCCCTACGAAGATCTGAAGCTCACGCAGCGTCACAGCGTGCAACTTGACGAGGTCCAGGAACTGGGCCTTTGGCAGGCAGACTCGTAGCCAAACCAGGCGCCCGGGCGTTGCTCGGGGCAAGGCACGGAGCAATTGCCCTTTTCCAGACAGTAGCTCAGTCATGGTTGGATAGAGGAAGTTCACCTACCGCAAGAAGGTAGTCTTAACAGCGGGCCACTTAGGGAGCAACGTGTTTGCAAAAACATGCACTGTTTCTCCAAAGGCAATGAAACTTTCATTATGAAAGTACTACCTTACGAATGGCCTTTAGAATGGCAATGACAGACTCATTGCCGCTGGAGAGGTATTACTTATGTCGTATTGCCATTGCGCTGTTCATTGCCAAAAAGGCGCTTCATTGCCACAAAAGGTATTGATCATCGCCAATAAATGGCAATGATTAATACCTTTAGTGTAAAAAACAAAAACAGAAAACAGAGGCGGAACAGTTCCGTTGTTTTTTATTTTACACTCTCATCCACACTACGACACACTCTATATATGAAACGACTTTTTTTGATCCACGTTTTTGTTCAAATCTCAACTGGTCGCATATTTGAATCTAGCAAACTAACATCTTCCCCCGGCACACACACTAACAATGTGAAGCGACTGCTCGAAAGACGCACAACAAATTTGTTGGAACCCGAAAACAATTTTGTTGTTACCATACCGTATGCTTGACATTACATGTAGCAGGAAACAAAAACCTCGGTAAGGAATCTAAAAGTGTAAACATTACATGCTTTGCTACATTTTTGTGCATCATTATGGACAGATCAGCGCATGCAGAATTATGCACTAATTATTGTATTACAAGATATCTGTACTAAGTTTACTCTAACGGATGTACGAAAACGTGCTTAGTTGTGTGCTCATTCATACAGAAATGGGTTAAACTTTGTGCATCAAATAAAAATGTAAATTTTGTGTTTATTTATGCATAGAATTATACACATTTATGATTTCGTGTATAAATAAATCCGTACGCACAAATCACTACATATGACATGTACGAAAAAGTATACTTTTCCAGTTAGTGTGTTGTGCATAATTATGAACAAACTTGTACAAAATAAAGTATAAATTCGTGCATAATTCTCCATGCGCGGATATGTACATTGCAGATGCACAAAGAAAAGAATTACATGGACATTTGGTGTGTTGAGTGTGTTCGTTTGGAATTCACCTAAGGCTTTAATTTCTCGATTAAGTCCGCGTGTCATAGTGGGCTGTTTAACGAGATGACAAGTACCTTCTCAACCTATCTTTTCTCATGATAGGAGACGAGCTACCAATTTTATCACCAGCAATTTTAGCAATTAAAATCTTAGCAAACTTTCTCCGCGATATTGATTTTAACACTTTCGTACTCTTATTTGTACGAAATCATGCACTTTCGTGCTTTTATTTGTACGACACCATGCACTATTGTGCGTTCATTTGTACGAATTTGCGCACTTTTGGGCGCAGATTTGTCTAAAACGAAAAATAGGTTCTCCATATCGCGAACATTTGCACTAATATATGCTCGTGCGAGCACAAAATATTGAATATAAAATTTTGGACACAGACGACCGGACATACAAATTAGGTGCACGCAGAAAAAAAATAGCTGCAGCATTGAATTAGCTGTCTATGCTATTGGAAATTAGCTGTCTTAGGTCAGACACAGTATAGTTGTATAGCTTAGTATTAGCACAGGGTACTCAGACCATATGCCTCACTAACGTCGGGCACCATGTGACTTCTAGTACAAAAATCGCAGACTTCGCCACCTGGAAGGCAGCCGTCCCAGGGCTGGACGTCCCCACGATCGTCATGCCTGGAGCCAGTGTATGGTTTAAAAGGGCGAGGCGGTTCATCAGCGAGAGCTAACGCAACCCGAAACTCTAGCCCAAACCTAAATTGTAAGAAAGATTAGCTGCCATGCTAATTTATTCTGATAACTCTATTCGCTGTGTCGCTAATTTGATTTAGGCGCCCAGCTAACTATGAGCCCGGTAGATAACCATACCTAGGCTAGACAGCTAAACAATACCAGCTATCTGAAATTAGCTAAATTAGCTAACTTATTTTTTCTGCGTGTGACAAGCGGTCAACGGAGGAAAGGTTGTGGACGAATAACAACATGACAGGTCCTAGAAGTAAGAGAGTAGGGCAGGCCGCCTGACAGGTAGGCAACCAATCTCCCAGGTGAGTGGGCCGGGCTGACCTGTGCTCCACGCCCCTCCACTCAGGTACGAATTCTGAGCTGCGACTGGAATTAAATAGTTTCTGAGTGGTGATTTTCTGCCTTTCTCTTTACTGGGTAGTGAAAAGAAAGTTTCTAAATAGTAGTAATTTGCTTCTGTTTTACCTTTCTGAGTAGTAAAGTAAATGTTCCTGCGCTGTGATTTTAGAAAATGCCAAACATTCTGAGCCGTTAAGACTCAGACGGCAATCGTTTTCTGACCAGTGAAGGAAATCTTGCCGCATTTCGGAGCTGTGATACTAAACGCAGAAATTTTCTGAGCGGTGAGGAAAAAAAATTGTTTCTGATAAAACTAATATTCTCAGTCGTGATTTTTACGAAAACCTATTTTAAAAGATGACAAATCGACAACATTTATTCTGCGTAGTAACTTTCTGAGTTGTGATTTTCTGTGTGATGATGCCCTCCTGCAGTAGCAGTAGAGAAGTCGCAGTGCGCAGTGCGTCAGCTCACTGTAACCTCCCTAATCGCACTCCTGACCAGGTGTTACGCGTAATGCGAGGGGGAAATCACTTGCGAAGTAGTTCGTACACCTTCCCCCGAAATAGTCCGAAAAAAAGGCGAAATAGAGGCGAAATAGAGCGAAATAAAGACGAAATAGACGTGCAATAGTCGGTGAAATAGTCGCGAAATACCCCTGAAATACTCCGAAATAGCGCGAAATAGCCTGAAATAATCCGAAATAGGCGAGAAATAGCCGAAATGGCAGGAGAAATAACCGAAATGGCAGGAGATATACCACGAAATGGTCCGTACGATACGAACCTGAGTGATTTCCCCCTCGGCGTAATGTAATATTGCAAACCTGCAAAACAACGAGTGATTTTTCTAGATATTACTCACCTCGAGGCGGAGCAGGCGGGGCGTGGATGCCAACATGAGCCAGTGCTCGGGGCGTGCATTCCACACCTCCAATTCCTCCACCAACGGCGCTGCAGCGGCCAACAGTTGCACCGACCAGCGGGGGTCGAGCTCACAATACACTGGAGCCAATCGTCGCACCTGTAATGGCGGGCACACTTCAGCTGCACAGTAAAAACGGTGTACTGTAATTGTCCAAGGAGCAAATCTTTAAGGCCGCAGGCCTACCTGGAAGCCTTAGTTTTTAGCCCGCGCTTCTGTTTTGAAAAGGCTATCCAGCGGGCTTATGCAAACGACCTCGTGTCTGTCTGTGTGTCTGTTTGTCTGTGTGTGTGTGTCTGTCTGTTCCACTAGAAGGAGATGTGCTAGAGACTTCAAATTTTCAGGGATCTTAAGCTTCACTCGTAGAGAACGAAACGCCTAAGGCTAATCCTGGCAACCACCCCCAAGAATGTGAATGGGGGTATCCGGGGTTCAAACATTCGCCCAAAAAGTTTTTTTTAAATGATCTCCTAAGGGGTAACTTGTCAAAGTAGAGACCTCTGGCTGAAAATTTCGTCCGTTGAGCTCTACCTCTACTGTTTAGGAGGGTCCTATTTGACGAAAATAAGCTAAAAATTGCTGTAGTGAACAACCATAAAGCCCTTAAATGAAAGGAGTTCTTTTTGCCATACACAGTCTGAAGCACTGTGGCTGCCATGCAATAATAATTTGAACAGAGAGTCACCGTGTTAACAATTGTTTAAATTTTATTATTACGAAATAATTGTCATTTTAGACTTACGATTATTTTTAATCTTTCTACAAATAATTTGTATATTTACGATTTATTTCATTTTTTTACAAACTATTTGTAAATCTGAACTTAGAACCAATGTGAAAAATTGTCGTACCGGGTACAGGAAAATTTTGCATGGAAGAAGTCGTACAAGTACAATCTAAGATATTTTTCACAGTGACTAAACAAATTTTATTACAAAGTTATCGTAAACCTGAAATTACAATTAGTTCCTGTCAATTTGAGGACTTTGCAGTTTTTTGACGACCTTTAATCGTTTTCGAGATTTAACGACCAGTTCGTAGGCAATTTATGTCGTAAAAGTACAACTTTCCTTAAGGGGGGGTCAAGACAAAAAAAAAGATTTTCGGTTTAATTTTTTTAAAAATTCTCTTACTCTTTCTGAGTCTATAGCTGTTTAGTTTGTAAAGAAATTCTAAAAATTGTGACCGTGGGATTTTTTTTGTGAAGAGTCAAACCTGAAATTGCCCATAACGTCAACTTGAGATGCGTTTTTCTCTGAACTTTACTTTTCAACCTTGCGCGCAGAGTTTCTCCTACACCCTTAACGCCACAGCTATGAAACTTTGCAGGCTTCATTTTTACAGTATTTTCAACAACTTGTCACAGGATTTTTTCAAAATTCCTACCCATTGATTTTTTAAAAAATGTTATAGGGGTGAAAACGGCATGATTTTGGTCATGAAACTTAAATTTGTCATTAAAAATCAGCAAGTGAGAATATCAAGAAAAGTATGACAAGTTGCAGGTATTCATATGGCTAACTTACAGCAAAAGTTTCAGCGTTGCTCTGCAATCTCAAGTGTCAGGCAGTATGACAGTTTAAACTGTCAGCCCACTATGTCTCACACTTCCTAAAACTATTTTCTCTCCTTTAAAGAAAAAACTATATTTTTGGAATCACCCTCGCCTTCCTCGCGAAATTCCGGTTCAAACGAGTATATGTATGATGGGGTTTTGATCTTAAACAACGACACCATGATGACTTTTGGAAATAACCATCTTGTTAATAATTAAATGTATTGTTGGCATTGTTGCTCTAAACCCCATCATACATATACACGTTTGAAACGGAATTTTGCGACAAACGTGATGGTGTTCTCAAAAATAATTTTACTTTTGAAGGAGAGAAAATAGTTTTGGAAAGTGTGAGAAACAGTGGGCTGACAGTTTAAACTGTCATACTGTCTGACACTTGAGATTGCAGAGTGTCGTGCAAACCATAACCAAGAAACCTTGCGCGCAAGATTTTTAACTGTTTTGTAACACTTTACTAGAATTGTCGTTCAGGGTGACTCTTGAGAGTTAGGATACTTTTTGAGCCTGAAAAATGGTCACAATAGACCAATAGTTAAATGCTTTACCCTGTCGACAGTCCCACACTCACCATATCCCTACAGGACACATGGTTTTAGAGCTCTAGAATTGACAAAATTTTGTCCTGACCCCCCTTAAAAGTGTGGCCAAAAGGGGGACATGAGTCCCAAAGCAAGGGGTAAAGAAGAAAAATAGGGTATTTTTGGGAGGAAAAATATGTCAGAGTGGCGCACTACCACAGTGCCGCGCCGCTGACCAAAGTAGCGCCGAGCACGGCGATAACCGGTACTAACTTTTTATCCTGACACTTTTACCCCAAAAACCTGACATCCTGATTATCCTGACAACTTTTGGAAATCGTGACAAAATCCTGTTTATCCTGACGCGTGGCAACCCTGCTATACTAGCAAGACCACGGCCCCGATTGCTGGGCATCTACGGAGGTTTGACTGTAGCGCGACACCACAGTTTCCAGTGTGGTTCGGAATCAGATGTTGCTTTGTGACGCTCCAGCCCCTTCTGCCCACCCCTAAATCATAATCGGTCATTTAAATACGGCCCCTTGGGTAAAATTGAGAGCCCTAAGAGGAGAACCTTACCCCAACTCAATGATAGGATGTCCTATAACGCCTTGTATAGATGGTTCCGGCAGTGCCCGTTTTACGAAGAATTAATGAAATCACCACCGGAAACAGTTCTAAAATAATGGCTTAAATCAGTGAAAACTAAAGTTGACAGTTACTAGAGATTTAATCGAGGTCATTACGTCGAACTGCACTGTCAAATGACAAAAATACGCGCACTTTAGGTACTGGTTCCGGTCCCGACTTCATCATTTCTTCTCAAAAAGCGCACTGTCGGAACGGTCTATTGATTGTCACCCCCGGGCCCACAACAGCAATCACCCCTAATCCCTCGTTACTGCATCCACCCCCAAAACGCGAGGACACCTACTCAGATTCCGTCTCCGTGATAACCGGTGCGTCATGGGTCACAATGGTGTCGTTCCGGGGCAAATCGCCTTGCTAACGGCCAAAAATGCAGTGATTGGCACGAAGAGACGTCGCAGTGTCGACACATTGGAGAATTCGGACACACGACTCTAATTCTAGATTCCACGATTTGGGAGTGGAAAGAATATCCCCCAAATATCGTCGGTTTTCATTTACTCACCCCGCGCTGCTGAACCCGTTTGAGGAGGTCGGCCTTCCATTCCTTGTGCGTGCGGGGGCCGCTCATCCCTTCTTCGTTATCCAGGTCAATCTCAGTGATTTCCGCAGCATGCTGATCCTGTTCAAGAGAACATGGGTGAGTTGAGTAATTGGGCTACGCTATCGATCCAAAGCCAATAGAACAGAATTACCTCTTCAACGTTGGATTCGCCGGCATCACGGCAAAATATTCGGTGTCTTTTCCAGTCACTCTTCTGGCACATCTTGCCGCAATAGTAGTCAAGCCGACAACGACCGCATGCCCGTACAGGAGACTTGCTGCAATTGTAGCAGATACGATTTACTGCAACCGACAAAGTACAAACATATGATAAGCAAAAACAGCCAGCCTAATGGCGGGCGGGAGCGGTAGCGCATGCGGAATAGGTTCGCTAATCATCAAACCACAGAAGGGTTCGAATCAAATCGCCACTTCCGCCGAACAAAGCAACCTTCTCAGGATTTTTTACCCTTGAGGGACCGTTGGAACAACTTCCAAAACCCGTCGCATTAAACGGGGAGAGGGGGGTCTATAATGTTTGTCGCACAAAAAAAAACTATTGTACCGTTGGAAAAAGAACACCAAACCACTGTGAAATATATCGTCGTAAATTTACGAAAAAAAAATCAAGTTAAAAATGTTGGTGTGAATTTTTGAAGCCATACTGGTTTGAAATTTTAGCACATGATTTAAGAAATTTGCCATTAACATTTAGCATTTGTCCTACGAATGTTCTAGAGGTCAGCTGAATAGGCTGCTATGTATGTAGACAAAGCATCGATTTGTAATTGCCAAGTAAATGCTTCGCAGTTAAAAAAGAGAAAATTCCTTTGCAGTTTGCAAAAAACTCATCGCAAAGCGACTGCTTTGCTGGAATATTACACTAAGGGGGAGGCGGGAGGGAAAAACTTCACTTTTACACAAACATAGCTTTACTTAACTGAAACTCAAAATTTACTATACAAACGGCACTTTAAAGAATACACAAATAACTGCAAATTTCTAATAATAAGGGGTTCAAGTTGGCTTAATGTCTAACGTTTAAAAGTTAATTTTCATTAAGTATTAAATAATGCAGTACACTCAAAAATCATTTCTTTCCACCTGATTTTAATGGTACTAACGCAAAACTGCTTGAGGTAGCATTCGACGGTTTGCAGGACTGGGCCTCCTAGTGCAGCTATTGAAGGGGCACATATTTTGCTAGTAAAACGCAGGCCGAAAGTTTACGGCGCTTTGTGGACCAGACAAAAATCTTCACGAGTGAAGTCTGTATGACCACCGCTCACCGCACGTATTCGCGCAGAGGCCCCGACGATACATACATTTACCAGGCCCCAGTCGTGGACACAGAGACTGGGAATGAAGTGCTTAGGGGTAGGGCTGTGCGATATTCGGGAATACCGAAACGATATCGGTATTTTTTTAATACCGATGCTTCGGTATTTTAAATTTCTGCAATTCGGGAACGATATTTCGATATTATCGAAATATCGAAAAATACCGATGGTTTGGGAATTTCGGTATTTCCATAATACGAAGAATTCGGTACTCCGGCGGCCTGTTGGCGTCAAGAAGGGCTGCACGACGGGGCTTTGGGCACATCTGAGGGTCCACCACATTTTCGAGTACCAGGCCCTGAAGTTAACTGTTCAAGAAGACGTGGATGATGTCGACGTGCAGGGAGAGGAAGACGACCTCACTTCGTCGATATCGTCGGTCGCGTCGACAGCGCCTTTCTCTAGCTCAGTGGGGTAGTTTCAAAGTGCCCAAATTGTTTCACTTCCTCGTCAGCTTCTCTGTTGTCGAAATTTCGATACTTCGGTATTTCGATACTTCGGTATTCCGATATTTCGGTATTTCGATATTTTCGGTACGGTATCGATACCCGATACCGACAAGTTTCGGTATTTTTTAAATATCGAAGTTCGGTACTGAAATTTCAATACCGCACAGCCCTACTTAGGGGCCCCGGGCTTGTGTGGTTTGCCTTACCCGTAGGAGGAACACTCAATGAGAATCCGCGAAGAATCCGTCCCAGCCAGAAGGCAAATACTCCAGCGGCGCGTTACGCGATCCAAACAAACCGAGGTCTGCAGCCAAATAATATGAGGAGTGACTCCTCCGCCACCCGCCCCGCACCTGCAGCCCCTGCTGCCAGTGCATAGGCAACCCAACGTACTGGCATGCAAGAGCCGGGATAGCCGGTACTTCTCCAACCCAAACCTAGAAAACCATACATGGTGACGGCTACGGGATCGAAATGTTAGACCAGGAAGACAATGATGCCGCGCCGCGCCAGCCCCAGCGTCCGAGTACCGGAACCACGTGTTCAACTGGAATTCAGAAGAATGGACGGGGTGGATCCGGCGTTGCAAGAGCAGGGGGTCGGCAACTCTCCACAGCAGTGTACGGAGTATTATAGTATTATGCGGTATTATGGAACGCTTTAAGGGATTTTACGTCATTTTATTTGATATTATGAAGTATTATAGACTATTATGAGGTATTATGGGGGTATTTTGCGACATGTTATGAAGAATTATAGAGGTATTTTGGGACCCGTATACGGAGTATTATGCGAGTTGGCGATTAATATCGTGCATACTTTAACTTTAAATAAGGGTATCCCTGGAGAGTGCGGAGCGGAACTAAGAAGAACAAAAGCGGATACAGAAAGCGTTGGTGGGGCCGCGGGCGCGGGGGAGCGGCGGGTTGGAGGGGAGCCTCCCCACCCGCCCGCCGCTCCACCGCGTGCCCGCCCCCACCACCGCTCTCTGTATCCGCTTTTGTTCTTTAGTTCCGCTCCGCGCTCTAGAGGGATACCCTATGTGACATTTGTTTGGTTACGAGTTTCTAACGTTCGATCGCGTTATGATAATTTACGGACACCTGCTCGCACGAGCAGCGCTAGCAGCTCCAGGTGGACCTCCGAAAAGCTTGGCTGTCTCCAGCACACGGTATAAAGTTTTTCTTGGATATCAAGGTTATTTCGTGAATTTCAAGGACACGGGGATAATTTGAATTTCGACCCTTGATATCCCAGCATCTGCCTTGAAATTGAAACCATCTGCTTCCAAGAAAAGCTCCTGAATTTTTGGTCTGATACGCACACCCAGAAAACTGCAGAAAACGGCAATCTAGCCTTTTTGGCTGAGCGATAGCGAAGCCTATTACTCCAGTGATGATCAAAAAGTTTCGCGTCTGTCTGTTTGTTTGTTTGTCTGTCTGTTCGCACGATAACTTGAGAACGGTTTGAGGTAGAATGCTCAAATTTTAATTGTAACTTTGTATCATAAAAAGGAAGAACTGTATTGATTTTGAGCCCTCTGGCTCAAAAATTGACGTGTCAAAAAAATCAAAAACAAACAGGCCAAAACATTTCTATTGAAAAACTTTTTTTTTGACATCTTTCTTAGAAGGAACTCGTCAAAGTAGAGCCCTATGGGCCAAAATTTTGTCCGTTTGGCTCTATCTCTGACCGTTTAGGCGCCAGAGGGCGTTCTTCACACGAAAATCACCCCAAAACATTGTAATGGTTTTTCTCAGATATTTTATGGTGTCCGGTGGGGTAACTCGTCAAAGTAAGACCCCGAGGCGCAAAATTTGTGACTTTTGGGGCCGAAGGCCTACTTACGACCGTGCCTTTTGCCCGACTCCGGTGTCAGCGCCGCAGGCCTAGGTAGATGTATGCCAGGCGCGTCGCAGCGTAACAGTGTTTCGTGAGATATCGCGAAGCCTGTTACGCGAGACGTGGTCTGGCGTACATCTACCTAGTGTATCCATTCGCGGGTCTCTCCCACATATAGGACTCTACGCAGGCCCAACCATCGCCGCCGGCAGGCCAAACAGGCGGGTGATTCTCAGAATGCGGGCCATTTAGATTCCGCGGCCCTTCACAACTACGTGATTGGCTGAGCGATAGCGAAGCCTATTACTCCAGTGATGATCAAAAAGTTTCGCGTCTGTCTGTCTGTCTGTCTGTCTGAACGCACGATAACTCGAGAACGAATTGAGCTAGCGACCTGGGATTTTCAGGGTCGTTTTGTGTCATCAAAAGACAGATCGAGTTCGAAGAAGAGCATTCTCGCTCAAGAATTGGATTTTTAAAAAATCACAAACCACATGTCCCCAAAATGATGTCTGGCGTACATCTACCTAGTACAGTGAGGGCTCGCTATAGTTCCGCCCCGCATAGTTCCGCCGGCGCTCCCTCCCCGCCAGGCCTGGTTCCCCCACTCCGAGCGAGAAGCGGCTCCCCACTCTTCCTCCTCCCTCCACCCCCCACACCTTCCCCTGAGGTGTAATGTAGACACATTACATGTAATGTAGACACATTACATGTAATGTAGACACATTACATGTAATGTAGACACATTACATGTAATGTAGACACATTACAT